GAGAGAGAGAGAGAGAGAGAGAGAGAGAGAGAGAGAGAGAGAGAGAGAGAGAGAGAGAGAGAGAGAGAGATTTAAGAAGACTTTCTTTCTCTGTCTTACACCACCGCAAAAGAAAAGAATCGTGCCTGCGCAGTACTACACAGGCGTGATTCTCCCTTGTCACGATGGTGAGACAGAGAAAGAAAGTCTTCATAAATCTTCTCCGTCTCTCTCTTCACAAGCGTCAGCTTATTCAATGGGACGCTCAGTCTATATATACTATGTCTATGGCCGCAAGCAAGTTATACGTGTAGATAGACTGTGTTCGTACTCCTTATACATACTTCATAGTTTTGTGCATTCAACGTAGAGTATCGTAAGAAATCCCGATCGCGATCAACATTCGTTCGAGTTTAATTGCCTCACTTAGGGCGATTTCGATTGACTCGATTAATCGAAACCGGCAGAATCGCTTAGAGCGAAATTTTAATGCTGTATAATTCGTCGTTCACGAGCTAATCTTTTCTTTCCCGTGCTTTACACAAGAAATTAATAATTGGATCCACGTCAACAAAATAGGACGGGTACAAATACGTCTGATAAGTTAAGGAGTTTGCCGGAGTTTAGTCGAAGTTACCCTAAGCTATTTAATCACACATTAAAGCGCCTACACATGCACGAGCGTGTTGTTCGCGTCTTTAAAGCGGCGCTTCTGAAACGCGCGCGTAAGGCTCGGCTTCGATATCGCGAAAGCGAAAGGGCCGTTAGCGCATCGCGAGGGTTGATTAACATCTGCAAAACACTCGTGGCAACTGTACAATCAGCATAATTGACTCGCTCATGCGTTTGATTGGAATACTAAAGGGAGCAATCTGCGGCAATTTCTTAATTGCGCTGCTACGTGGCGCGAAGAGTAGGGCGCGATTTGCATGATCGTCCTCGGTACGGGCGGTCGTAATTAAACTCGATTAATCGCGGGTGCTCCCGAAACGAAAGCCCGGTAACACAGTTACTTAATAATCGAGCACGCGCGCGCTGCTGTGTAGCGAGATTACAGGCGCGCCAGCTTGGAGCAAGCCGGGACTCACATCTGATACGCAGGTCTACGTGCGCCTCCGCGGGATCGCCGATGCCGTTTTTGGCGACGCAGGTGTACCTGCCGGAGAGGTTCCGAGAGTCGGCGTGAAATCTCAACACCGGTCGTTCGTCCAATAATGGGATTTCCCTGTCCTGTGAAGAAGAAGAAGAAGAAGAAGAAGAAGAAGAAGAAGACGCGCTTTACCCGCCGCGACGACGCACCACTTGAATTTAATTGACTTATTGTCCGACCAGGAGAAATCTCGCGAGCGGACATCCGCACGTTTCGTTCCTCCCTTTTTTCCCCGCAACTTCATTTCCCTCCCTCGCCATTGACGGAACGTTTCCCACCGTCGCACTTTGACACGCGGCTCGCGTAATATCGCCGGCAATATCGCCGGCAATGGTATATCGAATAGCCCAGGAATATCGATTACCTTCGTCCTCCAACTTATGATGGGGGCCGGTACACCCTTGGTCACGCATTGCATTTCCACCCTCTCCCCGAGATTGACCTCCAGCTCGCCGGACGCCGGCACCGTCTCCGCGCTCGGTGGATCTGAGGTCGGAACGGAGCGCGAACGAACAAATAAATTTCCTGCCGTTGTTGTGCGGCGTTTAAGCCGGCCTTACCGTCGTTTACACGCGTTCATGCAAAATTCAGACGTCCGAGACGGGCGACGCGAGGTCTCGGTGGGGTCTTGCACGAGTCAAACGGCTGGAAATAAGCGGTCGTGGTAGATAAGGGACAGCCGAGTGCGAGAGAAGACGGATAGACGTCTCACGGTTCTTCGGATTCGCGAGCGCGAGGGACTCTCGAATCCTTTCGACGCGTCGATCCGCCTCGGCGTGCAAGTAGACGGATCACCCCTTGGGACGCTACGCGGGGGTGGGTGGGTAGGTGGGTGGGTGTGGGAAGGCGCTTATCGCGGGGTATATACATGGCAGTGTAACTCACACATCACTTCGATCTTGAGTACTTGCGTGACGTGTCCCAAGGGAGACGGTCGGATCACCTGGCACACATACTCCCCGCTGTCCTCCCGCTGCACGTCAAGGACTCGCAGGCTGCCGTTGCTATACAGGACGAACCGCTCGGTCGACGGTGGCTGCTGCACGCTGTCGGCCAGGGTGCCATTCCCTCGCCACCATGTCACCCTGGTCTGCTCGCCTACGCGACCAGAAATAACGTTTTTTTTTCCCGTGCACTCGAACGCGCCCCGCGCCGCGCCGCGCCGCGCCGCAGCCTAAAGACCGACATTCGGACTCGACGCACGTACTACTTTTAGTACCCACTAACAAGGGGCGAGGAAACGAACCTCGGTGGAGACGTTTTTCTTCCTCTCTATCTCTATTTAAACAATGTATATCACCCCGTACGGACGTGCGAGGAAAGACAGAGAGAGAGAGAGAGAGAGAGAGAGAGAGGGGAGAGAGAGAGAGAGAGAGAGAGAGAGAGAGAGAGAGAGAGAGAGAGAGAGAGAGAGAGAGAAGGAAGAGGAGGGTATATGCAAATACATAAATTGCAACGTTCGTCTTAATGAAGTGGGGCTTTAACAAGACTCATGACGACTCATTTATAACGGCTCCCAGCGATACAAAGCGCAGCTCGCGCGGCAGCTGCGCTCGCGGAAATTCACCCTTTTCCACGTGCCACTTTATCCTAATTTTGCACGCCCGCGTAGGTAGGAATAACGACGTTTCAAAAGACAACCCCGCGTTTGTTATCGCGTGGGTGGAGATTGCGGTTTCGGGCCCGGAGTGTCGGGGCAATTTCGCAAATGACAGTAATTCCGCACAGGCACGGGGCCGCGTACGTGCGTACCGCGTATTTGACGAAACGAGAACGAGAGAGAGAGACAGACAGACAGACAGACAGACAGACAGAGAGAGAGAGAGAGAGAGAGAGAGAGAGAGAGAGAGAGAGAGAGAGAGAGAGAGAGAGAGAGAGAGAGAGAGAGAGAGAGAGAGAGAGAGA